ACTGAGTTACGCAAGCCCCTTCGCCACGACAAGGCAGTGATCCATGAAGGGGAAAAAGTCAGTACACTGACACTAAAAGCAACACACTGAAGGTCTGGTTAGCTCCTTAGTATCCTGAATTTATATATGTCCACTTTTGGTTTTTATATTATTATATAAACTAGATTAAAATTTTTTTTGCTTCTCTTTCCAATCCCGTCCCCTCCCCCCCCCCCATTTTGGGAAATATTCAGCACCTATATCTGAACAACTCTAAGCAATGGTTTCATTTCTCTCTAAAAATATTCTTATGATGGAGTTTCCAGTTTTCCTGCAACACATCATACTCTTGATCATGGGAGCAATATCTAAGAGGGCAAAGGGGGCTGCAGGAGAGTAGGAGTAAAATATTTTGGGGGCATGCATAAAAATCTTCAAATACCAGCCCCTGTCTTTCATGTTCATGTATTGTATATGATTTACTGCAGATGTAATACAGTTATTTGTAACCCAAGAATGATTACTTTTCTTGGTGGTAGCTGCTTGCAAAGCTTTTATCAGTTTAAATTTGGAAATTAACTATGTACTGCATTGATTGCTTCTTCCCCATTCCCAAATATGATTATCTGAACTGATCATTGTTTTGCTTTTAATTTTAGTATGGGCAAATTTGGTGCATGTTTTATACCTGGGCTGTGTAAGCAAAGTGACCTAATGCTCTTTGCTGCAAGGCCTGGGATTCGCCTTTGGAAATCAGATGTTCACGGGACAGTTCAAGCAACGTATCTTTTGAAAGATGTATTTGCTGCTGGAATGAAGCCTTTTGAATTATATCCCCGAGTGGAATCCTTTAACAAGAGCAGCTGTAATTTCCCAGAAAGACAATTTGGACTCATCTCCTGCTTTTCCCAGGAAGGATGGGTATTGAGCTGGAATGAATATAGCATCTATGTATTAGATACAGTAAACCAGGTAAGAAAGCCAAGTCAGAATGTGATGAATTTGTAATTATTTTCTGAGATAGGTACATAATAGAAAGGAATAGTGTGAAGAATGTTTTATGCAAAGATTTTGGCTTGTGATTTACTGGAGGTTTTTTGCAACTTGATTTGAAGGTATGTATTGCATTGGACAGAAGAATGCAAGGTGCATATTGTTCTCAAATTACTTTTTGCAGCTCCTAGAAATGGTCACCAAAAAATGAATACACCGTTTTCAATTATTTCCCCTAGGCAATTAGATTATAAGCCTTTTTCTAGGCTTAATATATAGGGGAAGAAGCCTTCCTCTTGCATTTCCTCTGACTTTTTAATCTCAGTACTCCTCAATATGTTTTTCCCAGGATTACACTCCATATATCTGATGAAGTGAATGTAATACGTGGAAACCAAAGATAGATTAAAGGTGACAGTCTGTGAGGCACTACATACTACTATGAGGTCTGTTGCTGCCACAGACTTTTTGTAAAAAAAAAAAAAAAAAAAAGGAATGGTTCATATACTTGGGGATGTATATGAAAGTTGCTACCTTATTTTGGGAGAACACCAGAGTTTGCAATTAAAAGGAAATATATCTTTGAATTAAAAAAATAAACCCCAACAATTGTAGTGAATTTCAAATAATGTGTATCAATTCCAATTGTTCAGATCTGTATATTTCACATATATCTGAACTGCAGTGCTTTACTGCAGATGTAATACAGTTATTTGTAACCCAAGAATGATTACTTTTCTTGGTGGTAGCTGCTTGCAAAGCTTTTATCAGTTTAAATTTGGAAATTAACTATGTACTGCATTGATTGCTTCTTCCCCATTCCCAAATATGATTATCTGAACTGATCATTGTTTTGGCTCCGAAATGCTTAGAAGGAGCATGCTACTGATATGGAGAGTTCACTGCTATCTACTCTCATAATAACCATATGATGTACTATATATACTCATGGATAAGCCAAGAATTTTAGGTGCCAAAATTCACCCAAAAAATAGGGTTCAGCTTATCTGTGAATATATACAGTAATACTTTTTAAAAGTACCTGTATTTTCCATATATACTCATGTATAAGCCCACAAGCAGCCCATAAGAGGATAAGCAGACTGTCAAATTTTTAACCAAAATACCATGAAAAATGTGCCACCAGCCAATTCACATTTTTCATGGTATTTTGGTTAAAAATTTGAGGGTCAGCTTATCTGTGGATGGGCTTATATGCAAGTATATATGGTAATTTATTATTCCTGATACTACTGTTGGAAACTGTATTTGAAACCAGTTCATTGTTGTTCACTGCTCACTCAGCCAAACTAAAGTTTATACTGTGATCCAACTGAGGATAAGACCCAGAATTAATATTGCACAAATATTTGGTTTAAATTTAAAGTAAGTGATGGTATGGTAAATGATAATCACTGTAGAGTGAATGTGTATGAATGTAAATATTTTTTTGATTCCTCACTAAAGGACTTGATATGCATTTAATAACTGTTTCAAGTGTGAGTTTTCATAATTAATCTCTGTGCCATGTTTTTATGAAAGATTCACATGAATTATCCTCATTCCATATCTGCATTATTATTTCCTTATTTTCGGTGTTACTGTTTTGCTCCTTTTCTTGATTGTATAACATTGCTTTCCATAAATAAATATAAATAAAAATAAAAACTCTGAAGTAGGAACTGTGTTCTTAACATAGTCATACCCTGTCTTTCACTTTCTTTGTTTTCACAGACCATGATTGGCAGTTTGGAAGGATGTGGTGATATAGTATCTGTGTCCTGTACTGAAAATGAGATCTTTCTTTTAAAGGGAGACAGAGATATCATTAGAATCTCAAGCAGACCTGAAGGACTGGTGTCAATAGGTTTGCATATTAAGTTTATAGTATATATAAAATGATTGTGTCATGAAAATTCTTGTATCCTTTCATTAATTTATTTTTATTAAGATATGTCTAACTCTCCCTGCCCTATTTGTATCACAGATTGGGACATGGTACATACAAAAGAAAGACAAATTTTAAATAACCATCATATAAAAACTGTATTGAAACAACACAAGCTATATTCAGTCAAACAACTCAAAATAGTCATTTCTTAAACCTAACATAATAGTCAAATATCAGAGGCAAGGATCATTCATAAAGCTCCATGTGGAGCATATTATTAGCAAACAATTCTCCATTAACTATTGCCGCAGGTGACTAGAGACGGACATCACTGCCAGAGGCAGTGCTATTATGCAGCACATCAGGTTATCCACTGTTTATCTGATTTTCTCAGTAGTCAAATGACTTAGTGTCAATTGACACAAAGCAGAAAGCCTTTATTACAGTAAAGCATGAATAGATTTTATTTTATTTTTTATATGGCTACCCCTCTCATTGCAACTATTCCTTGATAATGTTGCCAGATCATATTAAATGTCACTAAGAATTAATTCTGACCTAGGCAGAACAGTTTTAAAAAATAGAGGTTTTAAACTGATCTTTATATAAGATTGTATGGCACTAGAGAGATTTTACTTACTGTTCATAATATATTAGTTCTTCAATCTTAGCTCTTTCTCCAGTCAGTTTCTCATTACTGTCCTATTCACTGTAGGAAAAACATACATATCAGATGTTATGCAAATTATATAAATGATGTTCCAGGTCCAGTATCCTTTTTTGGCAGTAGCTAGATGGATATTTCTGGGAAATGTATTAGCAATTTATTTTCCCCCAGTTTTATTTACATATACTTGCTGTTACCATGACATAGCAAATTTGTGAAAGATTGGTTTATCCTTTTTTAAAACAGATCTATGCTCATGAAAGCAGCAAAATCTATGAGCAAACTATGTATGTTGGGCGAAGAAGTACTAATTTGAATCTACTACTCTTCAAGTTCACCCACCAAATGTTTCAGGGCAGGTGGGGAGACATCTCTCTAGCCACTCATTTCACACTACTTGAATTTTATAAATCATTCCTATGTTTTCTTGCTGCTGTAAATTGCCATCTAATATTTATCAATTTGTCATATTTCAGATTTAAATTCACAATTGACCAACTTGATATCCGATTTAAGCCCAAAATTAGAGAGGCCACATTCAGTAGTTGCATCAGTCTCATGTGATCCCTCTCCAGAAGCAAACCCCAAATTAAGTAACTTCTCTTCACCCCAAACACCTGGTGACAAAAATGGCTTTGTAGGAAGAGCTGACCTGGAAGTAGCAATGATAGCAGAGAAAATTCGCTCACAGAGCTTTGATGGATTAGGGGACTTGAGCAGTGACCCAAGAAGAAGAGGCTACTCTGTAATCAGTGAATCAAGAAGTAGGAGCAGTTCCATGAATTCTGTGGACAGTGGCTCCAGTTTCTTGACCAACGGGGATCAAACGTCATCAGAAATACAGAGAGCAGATCAGCAAATTTCACAGAGGTTGAGCCTGATCAGCTCAGAAGATTTCAACCAAGAACTGATTATAAAACCAATCAAAGTGAAAAAGAAGAAAAAGAAAAAGCTGGGTAAATGCTTAGCTAGGAAAGCTAATTCTTGCACTCTTCGTTTCTTAGTTCTTTTTTTTTTCTCTTTTGTATGTAGCCTGTAAAATTCCACTCAGATCTAATAGTATATGACAGAAGTAATAGGCTATAAAATTAACACTAATTTTTGCCATTGTTAATCTTTGATCTCAGAATGAATTTATACATTTGTTGGGAATAAGACAGAATTTGGGTTTGTTTGAGCGGTTTACACAATACATTTGTTTTTTGAATCATGGCACATGTAGGTGAGGCTATTTTGATTGAGGTTGCACTTGTCATTTACACAGGTAATTCTGGCTTAATTGGTTAGTAAATATTATAGCTGATTGGATTTTTTTAAACTTGTCTTTAGTTGGCTTTCAGTGTCTTTTGGTCTATGGGACCTGCACAACTGGGTCAATGTGTTTTTAAAACAGAAGGATGAAAGATGTGACTCCCAATTTCAAATATGGAATCAAATACTGGGTTTTATGTTTTATTCCTGCTGTTGGGAATGAGCATAGCAGAAACTAGCCTTTTGTAGCACTTCAGAGATTCCAAAATGCTTCACATGTGTTATCTTCTTCCAATCTTAAAGCAGTTTTGGGAAGGTAGATCAGTGATGTCACCATTTTATAGTGTAGAGGAGGACATGGAACTCAGGCTCAGAGTGAGACCATCCCAAAGTTTCCTACTGAATTCATGGCAGAAGAAAGAGGCTTCCTGATTCAGGGCTCAGTCTCTTAGCGACAACATATTAGTTAAACTTGTGCTAAAATTGCATTTGGGAGTATCATGTTTACTGGTAAAATGTGTTTTTTCTCTATGAAAGAATCCAGGTTTAATTTCCAGCATCTTCAGCTAAATAAGCTTTAAAAAATAGAGTTGAAGATGACTTCTCTGCCTGAAACCCTGTATAGCATTTTCACTTCAGAAAGTGGCTATAAAATACTTCCTGGCGTCCTTCTCCAACTCAGAGCCTTCCAGATTTATTGCGACCAGAATACCTAGTATTTTTATTCAGGGCAGTGCTTGCATACCCAGAGAGCACCAAACTAGAAAAATGTCTTTCTGTTATTGCTAGTGTTTAGGGAGGCAGCTTAGTCTACTGGTATGCTTGAGTAAAGTTAGAATGAACTGTGACTTCAAAAATTAAATTTTTACTTTGTGGTATTTATTTTTATTTAGTTATAAATCAAATATATATGCTGCCCATGACTCTTCATTAATCAACTTCTTCTTTTCTTCCTTTAACTTCTCTTAACCTCCACCTTTTCCAACTGCATCTGAATTTAGAAAATGGCACCAGGAGAAATCCTAGCTCTCTAGAAAGCACACCATCTTATGAGCAGCAAGCCTTCACTGATAGCATTCAGATACTAAATGTGAAATCATGCTCCATTAGTTCTAGCCTCCATGGCAGCACCACAGACTGCTTAAGCATCAGTTCTGCAGAACAGGAAAGTGTGTTTAGTATGGAAACACAAAATGATACTGAAACATTCAGTGAACTTCAGTCTCTGGAGTCAGTAGTTGCTCTAACACCTGATGACAACAAGGAAGCACTGAAACTGCTGAAACTTTCTAATTGTAAGAATGAAGTAAATGCATCACCTGTTATAGATTCCTTGACTTCCAACTCCTGCTTGCTTGTTGTGGAAAACAAAATAGGTAGTGATGACAGTGAACACAACTGGAATCCTCTGCCTGGACAAACAGAAACCAGCCCAAAGCGGATATCCCCAGATGAAGAGCATTTTCCTCTCCTATGTAAAACAGAGTTCAGTTTAAATAAATTAGGTCTGCCAGGAACTTCGGCTTCCCTGGAAGAGACCAGCTCTGGGAAAGGGATATCTGTAAATAGGGACACACATTTTTGTGCTGAGGAATTGTTCATTCAGAGTGGGGTTGCTGAAATAATGGAGCACCAACCATCTTTACTGCCTGTAGTCCCTGGAAACCTTACTGAGCATTCTGCTGTTTCTGAAAAGGAAATAAGTCCTCAAGAAAGGATGCTACCTGGACAGAATTTCAAAGAAGGAGTCATCACTGACTATACTAGTGAATGGATGAGTAACACTCACAGTGCTAGAGCTGAGAGATGTGTATCAAGTGATGAAGAGGACATCTATGGGCATGGCTTGCTTTATTCATCTTCAGAGACAAGTGTGACAGAAATGGGGGCTTGCCATCTTCCCCAGGATAAAGTCAGGTCAAGTGTTGAGAAGGGGGTGCTTTCAAAATCTGATCAGGTATGATCTTAGGAACACCATTATGACATGTTTCTCTAATCTGACTGGAACATACCTGCATTCACGTTAACCTTTCCTTCAATTTTCCTGCTGTTGCTGTACACCCTTCTACATGCATATCATTCCCTAGAGACTCCTTCAGCCACAAGTGTTGCTTTTGGAAAGAATCTGAAATGTTGCAGGAGAAATAGGAAGCTTTTCTTTATGAATTGAGTTCTGCATGCGTTTTTAAAGTTTAACTGATGACTATATTTTCTTACAACTTTTCGTTTAATAGCCACTAAGATTTTTTCAGCTGATAAGCACATTTGAAAAGTTGAAAGCATGTTGTGAAAGACCCATTTTTACTAGAAGGCTAACTGGCAAGGTTGTGCCTTATGTCCCCCCCCCAGTTACTTTTGCCTTTTTTTTCTGAGTAGGTGTGCATATGTCCAAATGAAGCACTATGCTGCAGACACTTACCATTTTTATTTCCTAAGAATTCTAGAGAGAGAGCGAGCTTTCTTGGAAATAATAATACTGAAGGCTGTTGCTTTACTTTCAGCATGCCAGATTCCCATTTAATTATTTGAATGAAAACAGTATTAAAATTAAATTAGGTGGAGCTAGGGGCCTGAAGATAGACGAGAGGTTTCCATGGGCATGCTTTTTTCCGTGGGCATCACATTTTTATTTTTATTGGAGCAAGTCTTTGGTTTATTCCTGAATGGTCTACTGGTAAACCAGTTGAGTGTTGACTCACAAAAAATTGCATTTAAAAAAAAATCTACAATCAGAATCTCAAATCCAGGAATAGGAGTATATTTTGCTTGCTTTTGTTAGGAAAAAGAATGAGAAGAGACTGTGATGGAGGTGATGACAGCTTGGCAACAAACAATTCTCTTCTCTTGGCTACTTAAGTGTACTAATCTAATATATTATTGTATCATAACTTTACTAGAATATCTATTTTTCTGGTTCACTATTTAATTGAGATTTTCAGAATTTTCTTGCAATCATCAAACTTTATTTCAGAACTTTGGATATTGTACAAGCTATGACTTTCTCCATAATGGTGAACCATTTATTCACACTGAATAAATACTGAATGCAGGTAGTCCTTGCTTAACAACAGTTCATTTAATAACAATTTGAAGTTGCAGCGGTCTCAGAAAAAGTGCCTTATAACCTGTACTTGCACTTACGACTGTCGCAAACCGTCACACCCCCCGGGGTCACGTGATCATGATTTGCAACCTTTTATATGATAGTAGTTAAGCGAATCACATGGTTAAGCAAATTCTGACAAAAACCATCCATTGGGGAAGCTGGATTCACTCTACGATAACGTGATTCGCTTAACGGCCATTGTAAAAATGGTCATAAAATTGGGTCCAGTCATGTGGTGACTCGCTTAACAATCACCCTGCTTAATGACCATTTTCCAGTCCTTGTTCAGTGAGGACTACCTGTACCCATTGCTAGAGATTTTTAAACTGCCTGTTTTGCAAATGCTACCCAAGAATCTTTATTAAATATTAAAAACATACATTTGTCAAATGTGCTAAAAACACAGTCCTTCTATAATTTCAAGACTGGGCAGCTTTCATATACCATGAAAATATATCATACCTATTCTAACTCTTCAGTCTTTAGTTTGCAGAAAGCTGGATGGGCTATGCAGGTCCTGGCTATGGAATACTGAGCCTAGTTGTCTCTGATAAATATGTTTGGTGCTTGGATTACAAAGGTGGCCTGTATTGTAGTGCATTACCTAGTGCTGGGTTGCGTTGGCAGAAGTTTGAAGATAATGTCCAGCAGATGGCAGTCTCTCCTTCAGGTTAGTTAGATTTGCATTTTTTGCCTTTTGTCCTTGGGTAGAAGGATGGATTGAGTGCATTTATTTATTTGTTCAATTTATATGGGTACATCAAAATATTGTAGGATCAATGGGAAGGGATTTCAAACTATCTTTTGTAGAAATGCCGTTCTAGATTGTATTACCACAGATTGCAGATATTTGAATGCCCTCTCAGAAGACTTCTCATTGCCCACAAAAAAGAAGTGAAGTAGAGGAAAATTATGTTCTAGCGTTTTTATCAACAAAAAATTCTGTAGTTGTAGGCTGATTTCTGGTCCTGAAAATAGTGTAGTTACATATTCAGCTGTTAATTGCCTTTATACCTCCTTTTATACCAGATTGTTGTGGTTTTGACCTTGAGGTTTTTCCATCCCTTAAATCCGTAACTAAAGCTAGGATATGATTTATGCCAACAGTGTTTTTCTGTCTGTCCATGATCAATTTAGAAATACAGTATTTAGTGTTATCTTTACTCAGGAGAAATAATTATAACCTATTATATTCTGTTTCTTTCCTTTGTCCTCTAAGCAAATCTATTATGTCCATGTCCCACTGTTTTCTTCAGCTTTAGGCTTACAGTTTAAAAGGCATGGCATAAATAAAAAATTATTAGGAGGAAGAAGGAATAGTACACATTTTGTAGTATTTCCTTATACTTATTTTATCTGTACTTTCCTTGTAATGTTGAATTGTGGAGATAAGAAAGAGCAGTGAGATGTCTTATTTGCAGTGCTTGTCCTGTAAAGAACACTTGGAGGATGGTTTTATTCATTGGCCTGACACCTGAGAAGAAAGCTTACCTTGAGGTGGCATTTTTTCATGTTTTGAGTTGGATTTTTAAAACTCTACAACTGCCTTATGGCTGCTGTTCTGAAGAATCTAACCTTGTATGTGTTCCTTCATAAATTGCTGCATTCCACATGTATTGGAGTGTAATTCCCATACTCCCATTCCCTTGTCTCCACCGCCATGGTGGCCAGTCCATCACCATGTTGGTGAAGACTGTCTTAGACTTTAAAATAGCTGCTGCTGGCAAACAGCAGAAATTCATTAGATTTAAATGTGTTCTCTTGTGAATAATTTTATTTATGTGAGGGTTCTTCCACAGGGACTCTTCTGTGGAAGATTGAGCAAAAAACCAATAAAGCTTTTGCCTGTGGCAAAGTAACTATCAGAGGAAAACGTCATTGGTATGAAGCTTTACCTCAAGCGGCATTTGTATCCTTGAGTGATGACACAGCCTGGATTATCCGAACAAATGGTGATCTGTATCTACAAACAGGTACCTAAACTAGTCTTTATTTTTCTCCTGGAGTTATGTTTTTATTAAATTACATTCTGGGAGGATCTTCTGATGCTTCAGAAATTACTGGAGATTTTTCAGTGAGAAGTTCCAGGCAAGCAAGGCAGACAGTTTTTCCTGAAAGACATTTTGTTTCTGTCATTAGTCTTCTCCTACAATGGGTTGATTATACTGTGGAGTCCAGTTACAGCTATGTTATGAAGTGATGTCAAGGCTGCGCTCATTTATACTCCAACCTAAAACGCTCTACACAACTTTATTAAATGCAAAAAATATTAGTACTAATAAAAATGTTCCCTGAAAGTAGAGGGTTTTTGAAAACCAAAACCAAATAGAGATTATTAATTGCCTGATGCTGTTTGATTTAAACCATGTTAAATAGTTTTAGTCTAAAGTCCTTCATGGGCTTGTTGGGTTGAAATTCAGATTTTCTGGTCTATAGTGGAAGGATCCCTTTAGAAATGTTTTATCTGTCAAAGGACTCTGACCCAACAGAGATTTCTGTTGAAGGATGAGAGAGAGCATTATTTATTTATTTAGAAAAATGTTTAAACTGCCTTAGTATTAAACAACTCTAGAAAATGCATAAAAATCAATGGCAATGAGTCAACATACTTGTCACACTGTGCTATAGGATTCCCTCATCTAGTAGACTGGCTTTTCAGACAACATACAAGCTGCACAGACAAAGAGGAATCAGAAGATCTCTCTCCTCTGTTTGCAGAAGCATTCAGTTAGCAGGGTTTCATTCTCAGCAAGCCTGGAACCAGCTTATTGT